GTGTGCACGTGATAGACCCTCGACTACCGTCGAACTAAAGCAGCCATAATAAATTAGCCGAGGAACATTCGAACGACGACGACGACAGCAGCAACAACATCAACAGAACCTTCGTTACTGCGTGGTCATGCTCCTCGTCGACTATAGAAGTACCTCATACAAGCACAGGTAGGCGCGAGACAGGTGAAGGTACAAGCTGCCTTCTCGCTGGCATCGCGCAGAGCTGGTCCAGCTGCCTCAATAGATAGGTGGATCTGCTGGCATCGTCGGAAGACTCGATTCCGCGCTGCTTTACTACGATCGACTAGTTGAGTGCTCGGTTCTCAACATCGGCACACGCTTAAGCGCTTGTCTGGCTGACAGGAGTGGCCATACCTACGTACTAACGAGAGAAACAAATCTCTGGACTGATTACTGCTGCTGCTAACCCGGGCGTCAGCTGCGGTCAGGACCCGCAAGCATTGTCCAGCTAGTGTTTATATAAGTGTAAGAGCTATCTGTATGGCAGTCTATTAAACAGAGCGCTTGCATGCACCCCCTCTTTCTGTGTATACAGCAAACAACTCAAAGCAAATGTGGCAAACAACCGATGTCCAGTGTATCGACCACAAAACCATGTGCTAATATTAGTGGCACTTGGGTCCTGAAGCTTCAAAGCCACGCCATCGACGCCCGAATACACGCAAGCAAGGCCAAATATATACATAACCACACATGAACTAAATATAAACAGATGCATACGCGTAACTGAGAATATCTATTGCGCGGCGGAGACTCGATGAATGGGTGCATAACGAAAGGCAACAAAAATTTGGCACTGAGTCAATTTTAATATAAATAACTACTAACTATACGCACTTTCTCGATGGGTTACTCTAGTCAGCGAATTGTAGATAGAAAAATTGAGAACGGTAAGTGTCCGCGATATGATAGTCCCTATGGATAGAGTGACTTTATCAGTGACCCCATCATCGTCAGCAACGAAGTAACCAACTCTTTAAGCACACTGCTTGCTGTAAATGTGCTCCACGGTTGAACTCCACCGAATTTCTACTACAGCTCCTACTACATAGAGTACATATAACTACATACTATAAATGTCGCAGTTTATCCCTTCACCAACCGCACAATGATGAAATGCCCGCCAAACTTTAAACTACAGAAAGCAATCTGTGCTGGTTCACCTCATAAATTGTGTTAGCCAAGACACTCCAGCGTCAATGGCTCCAGTCAGTCGAGGTGGCGCAATTCGCGCAAAGACGGTGGGTCCCGTTTACGACCCAACTAAAAGGCACAATGCAGAAAATGGCGTTGGCCGAAAAATTTATATGTATAGAGCCGGCTCTATGTTCAAGCGCGTCGCTTGTCTTAAATTAACTAGCCTGAATCGATCAACTAAATAGAATAAGATGAAATTCAATGTGTGATCATGGCTGACCAGTAGTACTCTATATCAAGATTTATACACATCGAACGTGTTGACCCATTTGCTGATGGTAGAACGACCTGTAGATACGTCACAGTTTACAGAGCTGCAATGCTTCCATAAGTGCTTCTCTAGAAGGTGAGTATAAAACGTATTACTATAGAAGCACAGAAAACAGTCATAAAACGTTTAGTTTTAATACGAGTTCATCCTGTAGGATTGAACATCATGCTTATAAACACAGACACATTCATAAATTTAGGTTACCGACAAATACGGTTATATCTTGCCTTACAAAAGAGGCATTGTCTTACTACACTATAATTGTTCGATACGCAAATGGACCCGGATGGAAGCGGCCGTGTGTATGTGATTCGTTTAAAGTCCCTCAAGCTTTCAATAAGTCGATGATCGATTGGGATCGTCGGTAGAAATAGCACAATACAAAGCAATTGAACCACTGTTACAATGTCTATATTGTCTACGCTCGAGTCGAGCAGGTGATTTTCTGGCAGTTGGGAACGATTTTTTCAGGGTCTTTTCTAAATGTCTGATTCGAACTTAGGCACGCAAACCGTTCCCATAGTTACGCATCCAGAATTAGGCATTAGTGTGCTCCAATCATCGGCCAAGATCCGTGATCAGACGGAGGCGTGATTAGAGGCGCTCTTCGCTGGCTCCGTGTGATGTACAGCATTGTTTGCAGTGTCAGATTCGCTTCAGCCCACTGGTGCCGAACACCCCATTTTTAACACAATCATGATCAGCTTTTTGTTGTCATAGCTGTCGTTGGCTGTTGTCGGTCTGTTCGAGAGTTGTTACGAATTCGTGTTCAAAAATGCGATTTTCTCCGTATCGTCTCAAAATTCTCTGCTTTAATTTCTTATAGGTCTATTGTTTACGTGTGTGAACAGGTATATCTAGTGCAAACCTTGTACAAACCCTGCGGCCTTGTCTTCCCTCAGTGAGTTCTATGGACGCCCCACAGTGGGCAATATTCCCCTCCCGCAGAACTGAAACCGCCCTTTGGACAAGTTATTAGGGGAGAGAGCAACGATAACCGTTGGCGATGATCGTCCGTTGTACGCAGCAAAAAAGGTCCGTTTAGGCCTCCGATGCCGGTACCACCATCAACCATTTCCAGCGGCAATGGGGCTGTATCACCCGTGGCTAGTTCTAGACCCCTAAATTTGTCGACTTACTGATGCAACTTTTAATGCTGTATGTGACTGCACCGCGCACAGGTATGTCCGTAAACTCGAATATGTGCGTAGATGCGCGGGCAGCAATTTGGGTCGTCTGCTTTATTGGCGATGATGGTGATGGGCTTCGTGGCCCTCGCTCCACAGGTGCCAAGCAGGTTATCTCTAACGTCTGTCGCTGTCACAGCGTTCGTCTCTCCCCATGTCTGCATCGTTGGGGAAGCTGAACTGGTCAGAAGGGCACAACTATTGGTTGGATTGGGGTAAAGCAATCTAGAACTATGCATATGTATATATACCCCTGTCTACCCATAGAACACGTTTATCCCGAACGTCGCCTGCCTTCTTCACACAGCCAACATCGCTGCCCCCTGAATCCGTTGATGAAGTCTACCTTTTCTTTCTCTCAATATACATCTGCTGATGGTGTACCCAAACAGTGGTCTTTACGGAAGGGATTCACAATGGTAGCATTGTTTTTCGGGTGGTCTGTCCGGACTTCTATCGAGCGGCACTGCTACAACTTTTGCTTATATATACAAGTAGTAACCGTGTTCTCGGGTCGTACTTCTTCTCTCTACCTGTCCCTCAAAACTACTTTGCATCCCACCCTGCAATTGGAACCCCCCAAACGACCCGATGCCAGTTGTGAGTCGGCGTGCGGCCGTTGCCGCTGGCATTTCGTTGACGGTGTACAGGAATTCCAGTAATTGTACTCTCGGAGCTCACGCTTTTAGCCTATCTGTTGCCTCAACGGCGAGAGCAGCTTAGTGCGTCATATCGATGCGCGGTAGACACCAGTAGCAGATAGAAGCAGTCGCGCCAATTTAGAGAAACGCGAATTGAGAGGGAGAAATATGGACAAAGAGCTAGCGCAAATGAATACAGGGCAAAGGCACACATCAACAGGTTTTTCCACTAGGACAAACGAACGAATGAAGCATCGTTGCTTAAATACCTCCTACCCTGATACGAACGATTTTACAACGATATATAATAATATGATGAACATTTGAAAGCGAATCTGTGAGGACATATTTTTGGTGCGGTTGACGAAAACCCAATTATTCGTTATGAGATATTTAAACGAAGTAGAAGCATTCGGATATTTTTATAAAACTCTTTATCACTTGTACTCTGGCGTTTTATTTTTGTATCGTTTGGGCATTTTGTTCACGCTTCGATCCGGAATCATTGAAACGATCGATTTCTGTTGTCTTGTGATACTTGCCGCATCGCTGCTTTTCATACTCGGCGACGAGCGTGTTCTGCCGTGACGCCACTAAGACGTGGCGGCAACGGCAGCGAAGCTAACGATCGGCGTACAGAAGCCCAACCATATAATTTAAACCTCTGAGCAGCTTTTGAAATAAAGATGTATAAGGGATCATTCTGTAACATAATTCCGACAGGTCGCAGAGTAACCTACTGTTAACTGTTTATTGCAACTGAGATACGTCCTAAAGGACGTTGACAGCGTAGTACCAACGACACTCGCGCTCTGACTGGCGACAGAACAGGACGCCAGAGACAACGGCAAAAGTTACGTTGTCGCGTCTGTAATTTTTAAGGCAATAACCTTGTTAACTGAAGACATTAGACCTTTGGATCACGAGCTTACTGAGTGTTACGACATATATATATATATGTATATACGTGAACAGCGCATGCAGTCAAAACCAGCCGTCGCAATGGTAAACTGATCAGGCATAGACGAATTTTTCTCAATCGTCCACGCTAAGGAAAGAAGCAAAGCAGACAGGCGCCGAAATCTGACGCTTCAGTCTCCGCGATAGATTAAAAGAGGATAAGAGAAAAATGAAACCAAAATAATCAATCTACCGAATACTTTAAATACAGCCCCGCCCTTGATACCGAACTGTTTTCGATCTATCTATCACACATGCCAGCACAGATTAAATGTCCTTTCAATAGCTAAGCGCACCAACAAAATACAACATTGCTACGCGTTACATTTGGAATGGAGTCGAAAACAATAGAACACTGACCTTTTTGTTTTTTTTTTTGCCTTTTTTTTTCTGCTAAATTACTATTGATTATGTTCTAATTCAATCAACTGTCTGAACAGCGTAGGAAGGTGAACGGAGATGTTAACGCTATCTGTAGATATTGATAGATGCAAATAGTCCAGGATAACTATTGTTTCCATGACTGGATTGTTACAATCCTTGTGGCTTTTCCCAGCCAGATAAGTAGCTGATTTCGACAGGGGGTCTAATTAACAGTGATGTATGTGCAAGCTTGATAATGAGGAAAATGGTACTCGAATTTTGGGCACGAACCACACGATTTCGACCCATTGATATGTTGACCCACCTCACTATGCTGCTGTTGAACCCGTGTATACTCACCGATAGAGAGCATCGCGTGAATGCCCGACGCTCGCTTGCGAGCTTCCTCTATTGCGCGCGAAGACTTCAGTAAATGTTCGAATAGGGGAGAGAAGTAGTCACACGCTAACACGTTTTCGGCGTTCCATTCAAGTGTATTCAGAACCACCAACTCCCATGCCTGAAACGTTAACCAGATAATGACAATTCGGCCATTTTATACACGACGAGGCACGTCCGTCCTCCAAACGTTTTCTTATGAATTATTCCTAAGACTATATCGAAATAAAAACTATATATTTCAACAACATTTTGTACAACATTCCGACGGTCATGTTTAGTTTTTTTTTATTTTTCAACATAATTACACTTCCAATTTAGAACCTAAGCCGCTCATTATGCTTTCCTTAATCCACGAATAACGCTTTCATGGTAACCGTATGTTAAGCGCTTTCGGTAGGTGTAAGAGTCGTTAAAAGACGTTGTTTAAATACGTTACACACTAATTTTCGGGCTGATAACAGGCCAAAGACCTACCTAAATACAATAGTTCAAAGCGGCCTGGAAGTGCAAAACGCCATAGAAAACTTAAAAAAAAAAAACTAATCATTAGAGCTCATTTGGACGACCCATTCGGCAATTGAGATACTCTCTATTAAACGACAGTTAACTTTTATAATATAATATAAAAACCAGGCGTATCAAAAGTGGTGATTGATGCATTTTCGCGCCCCCAACGGTGGTCCGAGATGGTATTCTGTCACGAGTACTGACAAAGTTCATACGTCCCGGCCCATTGTCGCGAAGTTCACCCCACCGCATTCTCGTTTGTCATGTCTTGCAAACGTTTCGAATCATGTATTCGATACTACGTTAACTATTGCGTCAGACAGTTTCGCTGATTCTCAATCTAACAGAATCTGCGCACAAGCAGGTTCGAACCTAGACTACCTCACTTCGGGCGATAAATTCTAACGCTACGATTTTCAGTTGCAAGCCAAGAGTGTCATCCGAACAAACGATTTTTCGCAAGCAGTCTACGGCAGAAGTAGGTGCCTTACGCCCGTGGATGTCGCGATTAACGCTGGAGACTAGCAGATCAACCATCGCCGTTGGCTTGGCGTCTAATGCCATATGGTGAAAGCGAAGAAGCGGTGAAGGAACCGAGGAACAATAGAGAGCGATCAAAGGCATCGAGGCCAGCTATGCGAAGGCAATAACAGAAAAAAAAAAAACTATCCAGAACGAAAATCCGTCTGCCTCCCGGTGCGTCTATGAGCGTTCGGACGAGTGCATTCAGACTGGTGATTGTAAATGATAATGCGAGTGCACAGCCTGAATCTACATTGGCATGGTGGATTCTGTCTGCATCTGAGATCCAGGGAGAACTGCGCTCAAAGCTTGAATGAGCTAGGAGATAGGGCTGACGCAAGCTCTGCTTTAGCGGCTGTTACTGCTAGTTCTTCTGATTGATTTAGCGAGTCGCCAACGCGGCCGAGCTACGTACCCTCCTAAGTCTATATTCACCAACACCTTAAAGCTACGAAGGAGCTAGAAATGATTGCAGTTACACAAAGATTGAGGTGGGAACTAAGAAGAAAAACGTGAAGTAGCGGTTATGCGAAAGATCGCACGAGGAGAGTTGATTCAGAAGGATACACGTTTTGTGTGGATACCCGTTATACGACAAAAGACGTAAAAATCGATGGCCACTCATGGGTTAAGCGAGAGCTAACTTAGATGTGGCTCATTTGAATTTTATTATAATCGAATGTTTGTTTCCTCTAATCAAGGCAAGCATAAGGATAACTGCTAACCAGTTATTCATTTTTACGTTATGAAATGATTTTCTGATGATTTTTCGCTCATAATTAGGTGGAATAATGATCGAGTTCCTAAACACGTCAACTCTTAATAAGCGCACTTCTCTCAAAATAGTTTTTTTTGCGAATCATTTGTTGATTCTCAATAGTGATATGTCGTCGTCGTCGTCGTCGTCTACATAAAAATAATTAGTAACACAGACAACAGGACCACGATTAAGAACTTTGAACCCAACTAACATTGTAGGGTGAAATTGCTCCAATTCGTGAGTGCTAAGGCAGAGCATACTTCAATAAAAAGTGAACATTTATCCGAATTGGCTCAAGTAGGCTGATACGCAACCTCGTCATAGGACAAAGAGGTTCTTTGTCATGCAACTTGACGCCTTTACAGACGATGAGTCGCTTGTGTTTTCAGAGACCACCAGCGACCACGAGGCCGTTTGCCGCTTACGAATACAAGTCCTCTCACAACGAACTTCTTTTGGCTGATCGACGAATCCCTATACGGGAAGTGGAACTCGTAGGTTTCCTTGAAGTTTCTACTGTTCGCTGAGCTCGGCTGTTTCGAGGACAGCGCCGGTTCGAATCCGAAACCGAACCTTGTGGCCGCATCGACCAGATACCGCGGATAGCATACCCAGCCAGGCCAAGCAAGAACTAGCCGTGCTCGACATCGGACGAAGCTCTGACGACTTCCCACTGCGCCATTGCGAATCAGCGTTTGAGGCGCATCTGCAACAGCGGTTGCAATCGCAGCAGCTTCGAATACGTTTGGTCCGTCTACTGTGGTTCTAAAACCACAGTGGCCGTCATTGAGCCTAAACGCAAGTAGCATGATTCTCGCCACCACTTAATCGCAGTTCGTATCAGCGCGTTAAACGTCGGCACAGGGGAGGGGGCAGAGGAGGGAATATACGAACACGAGGTGCTCGAAATTTTGCATCTTGATCGGTCCGAACAGACAGTAACAACAGCAGCGGAGGCTTGGGATAGGCCGAAGTGGTCGACGGATGACGCTAACAATAAAAAAAAGTAATAGCAGTTCTACTGCCACTCTAGCCAAATAGAAACACATAGCATGCATGGACAACACATGCATGTAGCTGGTCGGCGCGCTTCTCTCTAGGGTTCATAAATAGTGAAGAGTCATTATTCGTTCGAGGTCCTGGGTGATAGCCGCGACAATAGCAGCAACAAAATTCAACATACAGCAGATTTTTAAAAAACAAGTAACAACTTATGGGGGTCCTCGACCCTCCCCATGCCGAAGGAAAGATACTTGGATGCTTTTGCCAAGTACGGGGGGAGGGGGGGGTGCGCGCGAGACCAGCGAGATCATTGTGCATTCGAATGAGAAGTGGTTTGCTATGGAAAAGTGTAAATACACAGTTTACAGACTACACATAGTTTTTTTTTTTGTTTTTAGATAACATGTATGAAAACGCTAGAAACGCGAAACTGACAGCGGGGTCGGGAGGTGCAGCCAGAGAAGGGAAAAAAATATCACCCGACTTAAAACGAAAAAAAAAAGGTAGACTGTCAGACAAGATAATATCGACTGGTAAAAATACGGACAAAACCATCGTAAAATGTGAGTGTAAATAAACTCTGACTTATTGCTGTTATAAAAAGCAAAAATTCGTTTGCGAACTATTTTGTGTGTCTTATTATATAATAAGTATTTGAGCCTTAGAAACAAACACAACTACGAGATACTGAAAGGTTAAGGGCCTAGTCACGAGAGAAATGGTAAAAAGCCGACAGCAAAAGTGTCAAAGATGCCCCTCGCTTTAACATGCCCTCGACCCTTGACAACGTAATGGTCCTGGTGAGAGAAAAATGGAACGAATTAGCAAATAGATCAAAGTAACTGAAAAAGACAGATAGAAAATAGGAGAGATTCAAACAATAAGCCAACTTGTGACGGAGTACTGAGAGTGCCCCTTGAGTGTATTGGAACACTCATATAAGCGCATGCCAACATTGACGGTACATATATATATAGTGTGCGACAATCTGCGCGCATCAAAAGTGGTGACCGGCCGAGGTCAAAATCTGCTATTGCCACTACAAGAAGTTCAAAAAGTTAAACCTATACGTATTACTATGAAAATACATGTGCTGTTGACAAAGCAACATGCGAATGCTACTGCTGTTATTTGTCGATCAGATGGTAGTCGAATTGTGTTTGTTCCTGTAGCCAGTTCTCCTTTGGGTACCATGATCTAACAGCAATAGAAACAGTAACGGAGGACGCTTAACTCCATATCGGCTAGGCACAACGTGAAAGTAGCCTGCAACAGTTTCCTTTGGCTAGTCCTTTTGCCAGCTACGTTGATGTATGCACTAGTGGAGCATAAAAGATATTTTGTGACCTACAGATCGCTAATTTTCACTGTACTAACTGCTATCATTATTGACATGTGATTTACTGCACTTAATTTAGGCTCGTGGTGGTAAAGCTATACCGTGACAACTTTGATTCAAGTTCATTCTTTCGATTTGTATCATAGGCATTTCGTAGAATCAACATGGCGGTTCTGTCGACGCTTTGTCATCCGTCGGCAGGTCACATCAGGTTAGGTAAACGAGTTTAACTCTGTGTAAAAGCTGCTGGCTATTGTGGAAATTACAAACAGATAAAGCTAGAGTTTTTTTTTTTCTTTCTTATTTTAATGCGACCCAACTCGATATTGTTACATCTTCTTTATCAGATGTTCCGCTTGGTGTGGTACCATTGTCAATAGTGTACAGGCATTGACAGAGAACCTTCAAGACACTTAACACTAATGATAGACGAATTAGTCTGACCATGCATAGAGTTATGTTGCGGGTGAATGACCCGGTGCCGGCTGACACGGCAGATCGACATATACATTAGGATTGAATAGTGCGGCCAAACTCCTGTTGGCAACCTTGTCAACGTGAGAACGCTGCTAAATACCGTGACTTTAGGGGGTTTTTATAAATGTGAGGACAAACCATTTTGTAAGGCTTTAAGAAAAATACCACCGACAATAAAACTAAGGCCTAGATAGTCACACTTGCCTTTTCATTAGGCAAACCTTCGGTAAAGCTCCCCTGCAGAAGCGAATAAACTATTCAAACATCATAACAAAGCACCTTTCATAGTGTATGCTAAGCAATACATTAGCAAAGATCTGGAAAAACACCGATCTTCGTCCGAAATAGTGGCATCATATTTAAATTCAGAGCCTCAGAGGTCTTATCGAAGTCGATTTAGTTCCCTTATGTGCGTCAGGTATTTTTTTAGCAATGGCCTCGTTGACAGCAGCACTTTTGTTACCTTTACAATTTATTACTGAACCATACAGTTTATGTTGTAGATCATCTGCCAAGTGTGCCAGAGAACGATTTCGTATTAATGGTGTAATTTTGTTTCAATCATATCTCGAATGGATCAGCTGAGAGCAGCTATCATTGCCTGGTAAACATTGCCAGATATGCTTTAAACACAATGATATCCTCCTACACCTCTTCCGGTGCTTGGCTCGCTCCTCCATCAGTACGTTTAAAGGACATTCACCCACAAAAGTAGACGACGTCACCATCCTGCGTCGCTATTGCACAACCACACAGATCGACAACGTTGGCAACAATAACAAAAACAACAATAGTAGAGTCTATACCCCCTTTCGAGAGGAAGAATAGAATCACCCATTTGAGCGATTGCCGCGGGCGCTGTCGACAAATGCGAGCCGCATCAATACAGCGAAACCCGCCAAAAATTAAGAAAAAAAAACACACAGCAGCAATCGAGGTGGTGTCGAAGCTTTTTAAAGCAACTTTGCCATAAAACCTTGCCGTGGAGCGTCTGCTAAGTACAAGCAGTGGTCGCTGATCATTGTGAAGTGTGTAAATTGATAAATATGTGATGTATACACGTCATATTGTTCTATGCTCACCTAACTAAAGATATTATTCAGATAGTTTGTATGTTGTGTGTATACTGTTCCCTTTCTAATCGTTACCCGCCAAAACAGCGTTGAGCAGAGCAACAGATACGGGCAGACTACAGAGAAAGGAAGGCTGTAAGAAGGGCCTCCCTTTGCGAATATATCTATTTTCTTATTCAGGTGCGACAACAGCAAGAGCAAAGACATGCCGCACACAAAGTCTAAGAGCCTTTTGTTGCGTAACTGGCAAAAACAAGGTGCTCTTCGCTGTCCGCCAAATCACCACAGCGCCACCGCCATCACTGAAACAGAAACAACATCACGCAGATTCACAATCTCGTGAAATAACGGAAGTGAAGTAAACGTCAGCGCGGCGACTGCAGATTAGAGCGGAGTACGTATTATGTAACCCAAACCTAGGTTACCACAGATATTCCTCTATGTGGAGTTTCTCCTGCAGTAATCACGGGCCAGAAGAAAAGGTTGCTGACGGAAGAGGTCTGGCCCAAGCAAAAAAGAGGTATACCAAGGGATGCAGCCTTTAAACCTAGTAAAAGGTAGAGGTCGGGTATGATTATTAATGTTGACGTCGTTGCGGTTAGTGGCAGTGTGTGAGCATGCAGTGAAATAGGAAAACTCCTAATAAAAAACATGCCCACTAATCCCATGCATGATCAGCACTTTCGGCGTTAGACCGCTAACCGCTCGCGCACTGACTGTTGCCTGACTAGGTGTTATATAGCGGATGTAACACGCTGACCTACTGTTTTCTTCCTTCTGCTCTTGCGAATATCTCGTAATCTACTCACGAAGATACGTAAGTCTCCGTTTCGTTTGTTCGACCGCAAAAGCCAAAAGAGGGGTAAAAAGTTCACTTTGTTAGAAGAAGTGAATACACATATTAGTTACTATAAAGAAGTGGAAAAACATGTTAGTTACTATGCATACAGATTTAAAGAAGAAACGAGGATAAAGTGTCCTAGGCTACTTTGCATTTCGTCTGATGCAACTAACCCGAATGTCGCTGGCGGAAATAGAGAAATCACTGAAGTAGACGAGTCGGTCCACCGTAAGCGGGCGAGATTGCCGCATCTTCGAGGCCAGCAGAAGACACACACATCCAAGGAGTTGCAGTTGGGCTTTCTTCACGTCGACTCGCGAAAGAAAGCGGTCAACCAGGTTCATTGCCAGACAAAACACCGAATCTTCACACTGTTCTTCCTCGGTTACCTGTGAATTGAAGAAATTAACAATGTTATTACTTACACACATATATATATGCTGTGAAAATTTCAAATACGCAGATTTGATCTGAAGTTGCATATTTCAAGTTATTGAAAGCGAAGTTTAGATAAATGCAAATAGAAAGCATTCGATTGTACGTAATTTACGTTTCCAGGTTATCGCTTAAACAAAAAAAATGTTTTCATAATACCAGTAATAATAGTACATTGATTATTCAGCTGAAAACTCAGCTGAATAGCCAGTAAGTCAGGTAGGAATCTTCAATCTAAGTGAACAACAGAAAGGTCGTAATAGAACTAAACTAGAACACCGGACGATACTAGCCTCACTAACAACTATACGGAGACGTCTCGAAAAAGGTTAGAATTAGTCAGACCCTTTACTCTCTCGCTTATCGCTTTGACGCCTCCTACAACAGTAGTTTATAACGGCCTTCTGATAGGATTGTTTTCAGTTCTTCATACATTCAGTGTGTGAACTTCCGACAAGAATATCTCCACCTCAGTCAGTCAAGCCAGAGTCCTGCCCTAGGACTACCGGACGAATACATATGTTTTACAACTGGCTCTTGGCAGAATGAACCGAGTCAAAATGACGGCCTATCAACGATAGCCCTCAATCTCGGTAGCTTCGTTAGTCTGGATCATCCTCGTGTCTGTACCCCCGGTGGTGATTCTTGTGCTGATGTTATCAGTGGTGGTGTCAAAGTCAGCGCACGCCTAGTGTTTCGTCTCGTGATATGGATGATCGAATGAGAACAGCTATTTATGGGTGAATTATCCATTAAGTATAAATCCTCAACGAAATCGATGATTTGCAGCTTCATTGCGGCAGACGAGCAGTATCTAAGTTCCGAGGGTTTATCCAGATTCGTTCGTCAATTGTGTGTTTCAATTGCGCCACACTGAGCGGTTTCGCTGTAGACGGAACTGGCGAACATCGACGCCATCAACTAGGTTAAAGGCAAGATGATGCGGACTATTCGGGATGAGATGTAAAAAAAGGAGAACTCAGTTCGAACCGGCCACTCTCTGACACTAATTACATGTTGTTCATTTGTTCACGGTTCTCGAGAGATCAACCTCAGCCAGCATCACCTCGGAAGCTCGGCTGTGACCGCAGAACCTCAGCAGTCTTCACACATGATCCAGCTCGGTAGCTTTGATCTGCGCTAAACGCAAGACGAGAGAGGTTCATCGCGTCTCTGATCTGTCAGAAACTACCCGATTGGGTCGTAGTGCTCGGCAAGATGGGCTACTAGCCCCCTGTACTACCAGAGCAATGGCAATGAGGACGAAAACGATGACAGCTACAGCCGCTAGATCAGGGCAGTAGCAGCAGATGGCTGAGAAAGAAAAGGCAGACCGACTATTCTCTGTCTAACGAAAGACCAATGATTCAGACGCTTGTCTCATCCTAGTACGCCAAAGTAATCCGACGTCGCTACTTCGCTGATGCTGATGACAACGATACAGCGAGTCCAACAGCCTGAGAAATGGATGTGTAGATGCCGCGGAGTATCCAGCAAAAGCTACGCAGACAGCAACTGCTAGATGTAATGCATCAAAAACAATGACGCTGAAATGGCAAGCGATTCTAAATTGAAATCTCTGCCTGTTCTTCAGGATCGATAGAGCCGATTGAGTTTGAGACGTTATTGTTGTGTGGCCTAATGAACCCCCCTAACAGTCGATCCATCGACGAAGATATCAGAGCAGAATAATCAGGTTTAGCCCTGGCCCAAAAAGATGTTGACCAGTACGTTGGGAAATGAGCGTACAGCACACATTGTAAATGGAATAAACAAAAAAAAGTGATACACCGAGACAAACTAAGTTAGATTGATATATCACAATGAAATAAAGAGAAACATTAGATTTCTACTGTACAAGACAAACGCTAAATTATGCCGCACATATACATATGAGCGTGTATGGTTATTAGAGAGAAATCGAATGAATACCTGCAGTACAGACAAAGGAAAAAGCAATATGGTATGTATTTAAGAATCAACTGTCTGGTTTGGCTTTCAAACGCGGCAAAGTCGTTATTATTAACATAAACAAAAACACATTTCGAAATTCTAACGACACAACTTTTCGCCATCGCAGAATCGTTCTAGAAAACATATTTATTTTGCCAAAACATTGAAATATTGAACAACGGTAATAACAACAAATAACATTTCACTCCGACCTCGGACTTTAGACAAATGCTAAATCTAGCCGTTTCGTTAGTGAAATATCTCCTGGCGTTCATTGCAGAAAGAAAGTCATTCCCAGCAGTATTGTTAAATGTTATAAAAAAAAAACATCAGCCATTTAAAACGCAGCAAATCGAATATAACCATCATTAGACAAGGAACAATATAATACGTACTGTCTCATTCATGACACCTCCTGCGAACTATTTTTTTACTATATAGTGCAAGCTTTGTATCCATCAGAATGAACGGCGCTATCAACAAAAGTGTGTCGTGGACATTCTGGGTAGCAGCTCCCGCTAATACGCCGCCTCACAGGACCGTATCGGCTGCCGGTCTGGCTTGTCCGTCCGTAAAGATATGTCAATATACTATTGGACCTGTGTTTATTTCTGTTCATGTGAGCGCCCGTTCTGCGTCCCGACAGATATTGGCCGTCATCGTTGTGCCGGTGGTGTTGATACATGTGAAAGTCCTCCGCGACGTTAGAACGTTCGTGGCAGATACGAGAACCGACGATTGACGGCGGGCGATTTTCGAGCAACTGTTGCTGATCGTGCACAAGCCGAGTACTGCATGCATGCGGCATAAAGCCGGAAAGAAGTAGTACTAGTCAGAGGCAGCTGGGTCTCTATCAGAAGACATAACATGAGAGCTTCGTCGCTCTACTCACAGTAGACAACGTAGACAGTACAGCCGACTCACTTCGCAAACAACTGATTTAACTTAGCGTAGAACAACTCTACGGGCGTTACTGACATTGGGCAAACGCAAGTTCTCGTGGGCTGGATTTTACTAGCAACTAGAGTTGTGTATATAGGATCGTCTAAAGACCTATGAGAATCCACAAAGGTCAGGATACAGTCATCGTTTTGATTCACGTTTAGTGAAATGTTTTTTTCAAGAAGAGTCTAATAAAGACAATTTATATTTCTAATCACATTATTTCTGTTTTTTTTTTTTCGAATTCGCGTGCACTACACTTTATTTAAAAACTACAAAGTGTCTTAGTTTAATGAATACTATTGCTCAGAATTTCAACCAGTTATGATATTAAATTTAATTTAGATGAAATTGATTTCGTTGCCTCGATGGTTCGTTCCTATGTAAATGATCATCCAGACAGGCAATCTTATAAAGACAATAACTGGAAACAACCCCATCAAACCCTCACCTTACGTATACGTCACCCCTTTCCTTATACGTACACTATATTACTAGCGTTCGCTTAGTATTTCGACACGTTTAAGGTAACTTCGAGCATTTCCTGTACTCGTACACGGGCCTACGATTCATTTAGTCATACAACATATCCATACACAAGCTGCTCGCTCGTGTCCGTGTTGCCGAAAACCTCATCCTATCGTTGATGTACGGACACAGGCAGAGCCGCAGATTTTACGAAAGTCTCTTATTGCCTTTTCGCCATAGTTGCTATCTAGTCTGTCCGTACTTCAATCAAGGCCTTGCATTTGACTGCCTGATCTGCTGTTGATCTGTTGGAGGAGGCTGTCGGCAGTGGCGACAACAGCGATGGTGCGCGGCCGTAGCAAAGTGTGCGCACGGAAGAGCATCTGGGATCCCGCGTCAAACAAGCCAGAACCATCGAGTCATCTCGCTAGTCTTCAACCAGGCTCTCTAATATATGCCGGTGTTGTATTACTACTAGTACGATTACAAACACGACTATTGCCACGGTAGATAGAGAGAAGAAAGAGGGAAAAGGGGGACAGTGAGAGAAAGCGAAAATACGATCAGGCCTTCGGAGGTTCATTGGGTCTTTCACGTGAACCAGCCTTCAGAAGACCAGAACCCCATTGGTAGAATGAGGAAGCAGAAGAGCAAAAGGTCTACCTACTCCGTCCGAACTCAACCTTCTTAAGACTGCGCAGAACTGTGCGCTAAACTATGGCGTTATACGCTACTGAAAATTGCTACATGTATAGAATAAAACAGGAAAGCGTTATGTTGGCTTAGTTCGCGCAATGGTCAGCAGTGAGCTCAGAAAAATCTCGTCGATGAGTCTATGTATCATGTATATTATTGTGCATATGAAATTCTTATGAATGAAGACGAGATTTCCTTTAGGGTCGAACATCAAATTCTGCGCGTAATTGAATTAAATCAACCTTGTGTACATTTTGTGCATCCGTGTAAATACGTAGATGTATTATTTCTAGGGCTTATGACCTCAAAATGTTCAAATATGAGCAGACCTTTCTAGAGCACAATATAGTAGCGATTTTCATCAAAACACCCTTGCATTAAAGAATATGAATAGCTTTGTCAGCAATAAGACTGTGGCAGAAATTGGTACAACAAAAATATGTTTCAGCTTTTACGTCCACTACCTAAGCCGTTAGGCGTTAGTTCAAATGGCCAGCTTCTAGCACGAAACGAAGTATATCTACGCCCGGATTCAAACTTAAATAATTACGCGTCAAGAAGTTCATTAAGCAAACACCTCTTTCACTACACTATGACGGGGGCGTTCCATGGTTTAAATAGGACATGTCAACTAAAGATTTTGTTAAGTGAAGTATGCATGCTTTTTTTTTCCAGTAATTTATGCGAAAATGGCCCCCTCATCCCATACGGGTTTTGTTTATCATGTCAGCTTAATTCTGTTAAATTTCTATCTATTAGACATCTAAAACGCAAAACACGTAGCAATTAAGCGTTGATATAATTGTTAAACGTTAACGTGGAACGCTCGAGGAAACCGCGCCACTATTTCTAGTATCACGGGGGCGCACAATGTCATGCATGATCACGGAGCAACGTGAAAACCTATACATATCGGAGAACCGAGTCAGTTAGTTATTGTTTCGCACAATTATGGCAATATGTTCCCATGGTAAGGATTTCACTAGAGCTACGTTAGGGAAAAACATGGCTATGCTCGGTCCTGAGATGCGAGGCCAACTCAGTAACCCTATGGAGTCGTAACCCTATACTATAATACTACTAATAACCCTATACTGTGTCTGTCGGAGAACTGCTAAATCTGTTTTGCACACCAGTACATGGCGTGGGTGTACTGTAGTATAACGATATATTTTCAGCGTCTTGCTGTTACTTATAATCAAAATCTCCGTGTTAATAATATTGACGTCGCACCACCGAAGATATGTAGCAACTGTATTATGTACAACAAATACTATCCGCTTTGGATGCACCATATAGGCAGCTAACGCACAACCACTTGTAGCTATTGCTATAATAGCAATCGACCCCTGGTTATATCCTGTACATTGCGAATAGTTACCATTCGACACGAATACTTGATGTATATCCCGATGGTTTGCCGAATGCCGTTACAAAGCCCACTAAACGTTATTCAGTGAACAAGTAGGTTACACAGTATATAGTCAATACATGATACCCATATAGTCCATATATGTTGTAGATATTGCGAATGCGTTTATGCACGTACCTCAATCATCCATACGGCAAGAACTTTCCTCATGTGCGGCCGCACCTCCGATTGTACCGTCATGAAGTAGTCTTGCGATACGGAGTATTTATCCTCGATGAAGAGCATATTGCCGATAGCTGTTGAAGGCGCGACGGCGCGATCCCTCGGTGCCAGCAGGGCTGTGCCGGGATTGTTCCAACTACTGTCGAAGCTCTCCGCGCAATAGAGCTCCATAGCGTTGTCGTTTCCCTGTTTTTTCAAACGATTCTCTCTCTGTTTCCCGCTAAGTTTCAAGGTTTACCTGTTATCCTGTCTTATCTCTATATTATTATTTACTATAACTGCACAGACGAGCAACACGAAATAATCAGTCGTTTCCTCTGGCTTGTCGCAGTTACTGTGTAGTCTTGGCCACAAGTTTCACTTAAGTTAACTTTCTAGAACTTCTTTAACACTTGTTAACTAGCCACACTAGGTGTTCGATGGAAATCAAAACACACTGTGGGGACTGTTCGATCAGGGTCACAAACATTTTTTAGAACATGGATATCTTCATTTCGAAACCCTCTCAATACGTTTGTGCACATTGGCCGTTTGCCCGCGTAGTTGGCGCTTGATATCGTCAACCTATTAATATTACGGCTGCTTGCTCGTCGAGCACGAATTACTTTCAGGCTCGAACTGGTATCTGTGCCATTGCCACCGTTTGGTCTTCGAGGACGTGCCTACCCGTTTGTATGCAACTTTAAAGGGGTAGCTGGTGGTTGCCGTGTTCGTGACGCGCCACGCACTCCATGCGTCAAACGCAGTGTCCTGTTCCCTAGTGGCAGCCGTGTGCCGTGCTGCACCACTGCCGCGCGTTCTTCCTCTGCTCGGCCAGCCTGCGCAGGCTTGTCTGTACTCGCGCAGTGAAAGACAACGATCACCATGTCCGCTGCACCATCCCAACGAAACAGTGTCTCTCTCCTACTCATGAAATCATCACCATCAAGACCATCATTACAATCATCATGATTATGAACCATGTTAATCCTTCTCGCCACTTTACCCTCACTCAAAGCACCACAGCGAGCACATGGCAGCTCGCATGCTGTGGTCGGCTTAATGGCGAACATGGCGGGTGCGCAGAATTGGTACGTTTTATGCGACCCTCCAAATATAGGGCGATGATACATTGAATCGCCCGGCGACGAACATGGAGAGGCGGATGGCCTGTTGTTCTGCCGCTAACGATAGCAGCAGCTGGCGGTTGCACGGGTGCTTCAACAGCGCACCGGCGCAGGAACCTCTGAGTTAAGCCTGGTGTTCGGCCTATGGCCCGCTTCGCTCTTCACTAACGCCTGTGTCGTATGTTGGGCACAGCGGGTAAATGGTTGGGACGATGGTTCTTAAATGAGATAGATATTCTGGTCGTGTAGGTAGTCACGTGAGATTCAAGAGGGCCGCAGAAACGCTCGTTGAGGTGTTTGGTAAAGGCCTCTGTTGGACGGCGTTCAGTTACGTCAAGATAAAGTTCGATAAATTTCAAGAAGATCTACATAGAGAACAGATGCTAAGGAAGTATCGCGATCGTCAGCGACAGTCAGGGAGCGGAACTACTCTGTCAAAGGTTGTGACAAAAGATTTGACGGGATACACAATAGTGGAGGGAAGAATCAACGCGGTTCCGACGCTCCGCGTCATTTACCAAGGTGATCAAGCTTTACTTTCGTGCTTCGCAAAGACAAAGAAAAGGATATAAATCATTTGGGCCTCACAATGACATGCACTGGCCTGCTGAAATGGGGACAAACTCGCAGAAAGCGTTAAAATTTGCATTACACATTCAAGGTCTTTGCGATTTGCATATTTCTTATGCGAAAGCTGGACGAAGAACACGATCAATGTTTCGAAAAACATTAGATTATGGAATCATCTGTATCTGTAATAATGCAGCGATGACGTGTTTGCCTGCTGAACTTGAATATATTTGAGGTGTTCTAGCTTCGATAGCGGCACACGTCGCTACGTACAAAGGGGGCCATCTGAAGCAATACTTAGCAGCAGTACTGAACGTAGAACTCAAAACATTCAGTTTACACTATGAAAACTATCTGCTTTCCCTTGCTTTAAACTGGGCTATCTGATTTCAATTTTGGATCGAACCCTGAGGGGTTATATGCAAATCTTTGAGTACTGTCAACGTAATATGTCTAGGACACAACAAACCAGATTTGAAGAACTCAAAAATTATCATATCAGTTATTTGTATCCAAAACTGGCTCGTAGAGATAAGTTCCACGCGAATCATTTAGATGTAACATTATCATGTAGTTATCTGAACTGCTATATTTTTGTTATTTACTAAATTATAAAAGCAGCCAAGGTGTTCTTTGCTATAAACTATAAGGCAGATATTCACTTATCTAAGGTGACATAGATGATTAAAACATTAAAATAAAGGGTTTTTAGTTTACACTGGATGTTATGTACAAGTGACATGTTCTAGCTTATTTATGCAGAAATATTCATCACATTTGCTGTGAGGGCAAGATAGAGGGTTTAGATAATCACTAAACTAACATTATCACAAAGATCCGTTACCGAGCAATGTTCTGATTAAATATACTGCTAGTTTAGCTAAAAAAGGATATACCGCAAATTTTTACTTATATACAAAAAGGAAATATTGTCTTATTATACATGCATATATATGTATATACATATATATGCAAGAAAAGCAAGACATTTTCTTGCAACACGCAAAATACGTTAATACCTTTTCTTGAGCAAGTCTCATCTGATATCTGAGCCTCTAGACCCTTCGGGACCTAGTGAAGACATCGGCCAGTAAAATCAACGTAGCGAATCGTCCTTTTACACATATCACACATGTCCCGTTAACATTGGTACCTGCTACTACTGTCACCGCTACTTCAGCTTATAATCGGGTTGATAGCGCTGGTATAGGCGTTAATAACTTTTCGCCGGGGTATCTATACAGGGAACCATACACACGCTTAACTGGGCCACCTTATCATACAGATGTACTTACTTATATTTGTGCAGATAGACTCGACACATCGTATAGCATAAGGTATGCTCGAATAACATCGACACTGTGCTTCGTGGAGGATCTCCTCAACTTCGTTCATATAGGTAGGTTTGGATAGGCAAAGCTACATCTAAAATAAAATAACACGTATTTACCTATAAAAACGTACAGGCGGCAGCCATAAAGAGGTGAAGAATAGAGAAAGAATGAGGTGAGCGACACCGCGGTCAATAGAGCTACGTTAGGCTGGTAGTCGCTAAGAAGACACTGATCTGTCGCGCGACGCTCTTCGAACACTTTGGTAGTACAGAGTACTGGGACCGGTGAGCAAATAGGCTGCGAAAGTAAGTGGCGGTTCCACTCAGGGAATCATCGTTTTTTGACCAAAAAATATAAGAATATATAAGAATGGCCTTTGTAATGTTGCTCGAGCTATTTGTTAGGAGGTCACTAGCCACTGTTGTTGTATCTGGATATGCAGCAAGTAAAACGGATACCATAATTTTAAGGTAGGACAGTATGTGCAGGCAAACAGCCCCTATCTAACTGAACTGAAAATGTATCTTCACACTTCTACTTCACACAACTATACTAAATAGACAAATGGAGCTAGACAAATGGATGCAAGCTATTATGGATACCATTTTTAATAGCTGTTCGAGCAATTCTACAGTTTACTTTTCTTCTATCTAACAGTATAAGCCCCTCACAGCGATTATCGTATCGTCGCTGCGAGGGGCAGAAAGCTCAGAAAAATATACACATCATATCTAAATACTGCTCGCTATTATGTAAACAAACCCAATTCCTACGGCAGTCCTTACGTCTACCTCAGTTTTGTCGGTCACCTGCGTCAACCCTTTATTGTTTGGCGTTCGCTTTAGCTAAACCTACTGACATTCACGGTCTGCAACAATGCATGGAAGAAATGCAACGCTATGGAAGCTTATCTCGGGAGGTAACATTTTATCAAAACCCAGGCAGTTTTTCTCGCCTGCTTTATCGCTACTGAATTTACATCAAGTATTAACTTTTGCTCGAGGATGTATCATGCAGCTGATGTAGAAATGTGCGCAATGGCCACCCAGTGCCCTAATGCGTTACCCACAGTTAGCAAACGTCAACACGCGGCCACACGAATATAGCAAAGTGCCTCCCATTTGCCGACGCTAGCACCGTCGTCAATATCACTTGTTCCGTAACGAACCGATCCGGCTGACTAGAGGCACTCGGTTAAAGAGGCGTACGATCTTTCCCTCTGCGCATTTCACTTGCTGCTTATTTGGCCACGTGCACTTTATACGTGGCTTAATTTGATATTCCATATTTTTGCCCTGGGTGCCGGTCTACTACAGGGCTTCCCGACAAGCTAGATATAATACATTCATAAATATTATAGCTACACAGGTGTTAACTCATGCAACCATCATGATGCAGAGTTAGACATAATATTAACACTCGACGTTACCTTGTGTACCTATGGCTAGCATGCCCGTTCGACATGGTCGATTTTCGAAAAATTCTTATTGTGTTCATAAATAAACGTAAATTTTCAATGACGCTAAGTCTAAGGAGGACGCAAGAACGCTTGCGACGTGATCTTGTAGAAAAGCGTTTAAATCAATTGATGGTTAATGTTAGACTTAAGTGTTAAGTCTGTAATAATAATTACAGTTATTTAATGGGAGTAGTCTTTCTTGTCATTTATATAGGGCGTGATGTTTTTTTTGTATCACGGAATGAACCATTTTATTGCTTGTCGACATTACTGTAGATTATATCATTGAATAATTATAATGTTTTTGTACTGGATACGCCTAGTTTTGATCCTATTCAAAAGACACGTTACGTCCATTATATTTAAAAATAACTAGGATTGTATTTGCTAATCAGGATACGAATTTAACAAAAGGTCAGGATTAACAGTCGCAAGCATTTTACAAGAAAATAAAAATATAATGTAGCAAACCAGGCATGCGGATTGTATCTATCTCTGGTTAAATTTGAAATATTTCTCGTAAGATTGCCTTTACCTTGGCCTCTATGCAAGCTGCAAAGCTTAATATTTTTTTAATAATAATGATTGAAATATAAGTGATTTGCAGCTCCTGCCGAACTTCGGCCAATAACGATGTGGTAAAATACTATACAATTTATGGACACGGATACTGTGAATGCTCTGTCAAACAGTACTACACATTCGAAGAGAATCGGGACCAAAAAGTACTGATCACATAAGGTATACATTTCACTAGTAAAAAAGAAATACGTTCCATCTGGTTAATTGCGGCACAGTTTCTCTGAAGTCTTTCTTTTGGCGTTTCGCCTTGCGACGCGATTTAACCACGTGGGAAAGATGTCTTGCTAAAGAACAGAGCTTGAACGAAGTGAACAACATGTCGTCTTACGAGCTTTTAGTTTTCAACAGGGCCGTCCATTGTGGATCGTCCAGGGGATATTGCGAGTTTCCGCTCTCACTGCTCTGTTTACTACGATATCGATATACCTGTCACAAAATCAAATATAGTGAGTTCGAGTATACTCGAAGTTTCCAACCCAAAAGCGACACGCAAGGCTCAGCTTAACTGACATCGTCGATCCGAACATTCTCACTGAATTGTAGTTGCACCATAGATAAAGCTGACGCTGGCTTGAAGGCTCACCAGCGTGTCAAAAGTGGAAGGAGGAAAAAAAGTGGAAATATGTTAGCCTTCATATGCCGCGGATGCATACCAGTATTAGAAGAGCAATACCAGATTGTCGTTGACATATAAAGGCAAGCGCGACTTAAGCTGGGAGCGTCATCCGCTTAGAACTCTATGACGAGTCAACAACGTTTGGTGTCGTTTTCTTCGTCCCGTGCCTCGTTCGCTGTCTAGTGTTAATCGTTTGAGGAAATCGCCTGTTTCCTTCCTGGCAACATGCATAACAAGGTGGGTTTTGCTGAGGCAACTTCGGCCCGTTATGAAGTAAGCCCATGATCTTTGCAGCGGGCTGTGTTTGCCCTTACACTGCAAAACGACCTCGTTAAATGCGGCCAATAAAGCTGTCTGACTCTAACCGTTTCAGCGATTTTCACTTCTTTATAGAGGTAATAATGTTAATTTTAATCTCTTTATAGATGCCCCTCGTCACTTGGGTGTCCTTCGCAGTCTACACGGTGGCTGTTCCCAGCAGTGCTCTCTTACCCCACGCACCCCTGGCCGTTGCGCCAGCGCCAGTTGCAGCTGTACCTGCACCACAGGTGGGCATTACATGCATATACCCATTAAGTATTGCAAATACACCGATGGCTTAACTAAGTTAACACCAAGCCGACCAATAATTTCGAATAGAATCGCACTCTTACCTTGACATAATTTTATTCCGTTAGTTTCACAGTGATCATTATAATCATTTATCGTAAAGGGAACCAGCCCATACAGCTGTTTAGTGTTCGCATCATAGTTCGTACTTTTAGCGAAACCTCAATATTAGTGCCACGCCGTTTAAAGCTTGAATTTCGAAATGCATCGCTGACATTGGTAACGGCCATCATTGATTACAATAGAATTGTGTTTGCCAGATGTTACTTCGGCTGGGCGCCATTTAAGGCACTGCCAGATGGTGTCTTGCGGTCAACATACCTCCGAAGCTTGACACAAATGCACCGACATCTTGACATATATACTATCAAATATATCAGCTAATTTGATAAGGATTTTGAACCTTTCGTCGTTTTGCGACACAGCGTAACGCAAAGTTTGTTCATTTCTGTGAAGAGATACGTTTTTAGTGCGAGTATGTATGGTTGAAACACATCAAAGTGTCGCTTTCCTGATTTATTATTATGGTCCAATGCGTTAGCAATTATTTTCACATAGCACCTTTGGCCTTTAGAAGAATCTTTTAGCTGTCAATTTGAAATGGTTGATTGTTTTTTTTCGAGAAAACATATGCACAAGAACTTCAAACCTACAAAAAATAAAAATGCAGTTTAAAAAGGAGCCTTGGCCGAACTTATACTTTCAGCTTTAACATTTCGTTACGATTATAAATTAGCAATTTTAAATAATAATGTATCGTTTATTTCGAGACAACTTCTTTCCGCTGTGCTTGACTAAAGCCAGTAACGCTTCTGTAATCTACGACTTTTTATTTCAAGTGCACATCTGTTGAAAGAAAAATGGCTGAGAATACTCTTTATTAATATTATGCGTTCTCTTATTGTCTACTTTTCTCGAAGTGCATTTGAATTTTCTGTTTATTGAGTAAGGTGAGCGAGTATCTTACCCTTTCAATCTTTAGCCTTACAGCTTCGGCTATGACACGCAAGATGAGTTTGGAACTCGTCAAACCCGTAGTGAAGTGTCGAACGCAGTCGGAGCCAAAGTTGGCTCGTATGGATATACGGATCCTCACGGAATCTACCGACAGGTAACCTCTACTTCAGTATGTTTCATTTTACATTGAGCAATAGGCCCAAAACCATCTGAATTAGTACGCCCGATTAATAGAGATTCGTAGTTGTGGAGCTTTAGTACACTCAACAAGGGCTCGTTCCAAGAATTCATTAAAAACTTGACTGCAAATTACACTCACTTGTGCTTAGCTGCGTCCACATCGCAGTGAAACATCCTGAACGAAGAACAGATTTCACAGATGCTTTGCAATGGATTAAGCGCCTATTTCACAGTACCTTTATACGATAGATCGGAATCCCTGCTTTAAAGATATATGTAATCACTTCACGGTAAAATAATATATTAGGTTTGTAGCATCTATCTGTTCGAATACATGATAAAAAAGCCTCCCTACTTGTTAGATCACTAAAGCAAATAAAAAATCGCTGAAAAGCCACTTGAGTCGAGAATATTCTTGTTTGTATAACAGACGAACGATGTGGGCCCAACTAAAATGAACGAAGCTTGACCCTTAAATTCCCACGGTATCAGTTACGTGGTGTTTAAACACGGCAAATTGTATAGATTCAACCCACGTAGCCAATTATCTACTTGTACTTATTTGAGCATGAATTAGTGTATTTTTCTAAAAAGAAATTATTTTCATTGAACTTTAAGCAACTAAGTTAACCAAATGTTATGAGTCACCTGAAACTATGCTCCCTTTCTAGGTAAACTATATCGCTGATGCGGCTGGTTTTCGAGCCTCCATTTCGACAAATGAACCCGGCACCTCGGCAAGTGCTACCGGGGCAGCCCTTTACAACGCCCCTACCACCTACGTAGCACCTGCGCCTGCTCGAATTGTAGCCACGCCCATTGCACCGGCATCACCTGTCCTTACTCCTAACCAAGTCCACTACCATGGGTAATTCCAACCACATGCCAACTATTTTGACATTATCAGCACAATTTCAGAGGAACTGTCAGTGTTACGATGCTGATCATTGAAGCAGGGAACGTCTTGATCATACTTCTCATGAGTGACTACAGTTTCTTAAGCGTCGACATTTTCAACAACATTAATTGCTAAAAACCGAAAAGATGAAGATAGTAAAGGTAAAAACAAATAAATGTATAAAACCTGTATTTGGACTGATTTCGGATAATAAGCAAATATTGTTTTCAACAATTTGCCATCAAACCGGTGTGACTTCAATGACTCGTTATAGCCGCAGTAGCACCTGAAGACAACTAATATTAAGAAACATTTACGCAGCCATATTTGAAACGAATGAATGTATGCATAATATTCAAGTATACGATGGACTCACATTATACAGATTTCGAAACTAGAGACTGCTTAAATGAGAATCATCGTCAATTGCCATATTACTTCAGATAGACTTCTAATCTTGCTCGTACATTCGTTGTAGGCGTCGTGTCTGTATGAATGTAAATAAATATATATATATATATATATATATATATATATATATATATATACTAACTTAATGCAAATCATTCAATAAAGTGTACTGAATTTCGTCAATATGGTCGTACAGGATAATTATACAAGGATTAGTTTGTTACTTAATACCGTGCACATAGACACATACACACATGCAGAAACACATAAGCAGAATCCGTCGTTTAAATCGGCAATTCAGAATGACGGCCATAATGGGCGACACATGCTCCGCGCGCCTACCTTTGGCGCCGTACTTCTGAGTTGAGAGGTAAATCCTAGTTAGGAAATAAAGCGAAGTGACTAAAATTATATTGAAACCTTTGGTTTTTATGGTACTCGTCAACTTCTTTTGCATCCATATAAGCACGTCAGTATTCACTGTAGTTATTGCTAGATATAATTTATTTTAAAAGTTTCATGTAAAGTTTTAGTTTTAGTGATGCTATGCTTACGGATAGCACACTGTTTCAACAGCACTAAAGGACGCTTCCGATAATACCAATGAATATATATATATATATATATATATATATATGTGTATAATTCATGCCTATGTATAAATGTATATCCAGTATCCAGACAGGCTTAAGGCTCTTATAACGAATATATTCACTCAATAAATTTGCATCTACTGTTTGCAAAGAACCGCACATACCGACGGTAGTGCGTAACAGACAATTTTGTTCACCATATATTTCATAACGAGTCACTTCAACATTGTAACTAAATCTATATAACAGATACTATCGTCGGCCAATTCGTTCCGCAGAATTATCATCTAAAAGGTAAGCTGCCCGAAATCGGGTCACTCCGCGCTCATCCACGTAGATTAGCTTAGGGTTAGGCGTACTTTGCTTTCCTAACGATGAGAAACCTTGATCGTACAATGGACAGTAAGGAATATGGAGATCTCGAAGAAATTTCCACACTTCTTTATAGTTCCAATTCAATATAGGGAAGGCCCTCATTGCCTGGGGCCAATCAGAGTCCGTCGCATTGAAGTGATTAAGTGTATCCCCCTTCGGATCGACAGTACGATTTCCCAAAAGAAACAGTTTCAGGCCCGAATCAATGGCCTGCTTTAAGGCTTCCTTGTAAGATGCGTTAATTGTTATAAGGTGGGCTCCGTAAAATGTTACAGAATCTTCAATGAACTTTTCAACTTCAGGTCGGCCATCCTCCGAACGTACATATAACCAATTTTGTTTGGTCTTAATGTCCGTTTCCTTGACGTGCTCTTGGAGGGCAGCATAGTATAGGTATGCTACAATCGTGCAGTCCTTTCCACCAGAGAACGCCACACAAATTTCCTCGGGTTTGTAAAGTCTAAGAGCTTTGCAGACAACATCGTATGCTTCTCTAACGAAAGGGTGTTTCGCGGCAAGGATTTCGATTCGTCTGTGCGCTGCTTCGAGGGGGTTACTTAAAAAATTATCAATAATAGCACCACTGGGCAAGCTGTTACGGAAATAATTTTCTACTTCGTCAAGATGTGCTGGGTTGCTAGCCTCTATCCGTAGTCTGGTCTTATAATAATCTCCATGGAAGTGAGGGTAAGAGCCAAATTTCACATCTTTAAACTTGGACACCGCTTCGTTTAGCTGTTCAGTTATGCTAGCCTCGTCCAGAGAGAGGAACAGTTCTCGGGTGATTTCAGGCATCTCTTCGAGGCCGAGGCGTTCTACGATTACAGGAAACAGCTTTTCTGTAATAAGTGGCACTCCTGGCAAAATTATAATGTTATCCAGCCTGACCAAACACGACGTGAACACGCGGGAGTTGTGAACAACTTGCGCTATGATCGACTCCGCCCGTTCAGGAATTCGAGCGAATTTTGTTAACGGACTATCCTCAGTCAGATCGTTCCCAAAGTATAACTTGCATAAATCCCACAGGTCCTGTCGCAAGACAATTTGTTGATCGAAAGCTTTCGCGATCGCTGCATACGTGATATCATCGTGGGTTGGCCCGACGCCTCCGCAAGTAAACACAAAATTGTGTTTTCCGGCAAACTCCTTAACAACGCTACCGATCTCGTCGATTTCGTCGCCGACAAATACAATTCGCCTTACACTAACACCGTATCGATGAAGATTTTTTAGTAGGAAGTACGCATTTGCGTCACGAACGTCACCCCGAAGAACTTCGTCGCCGATGATTACGATGCCCGCACTCAACCTGCCAGTTGCGCCGGTGGTACCTGTTTTCGGCGAACTACTGCAACTGCAACGTTTGAAATAGCGTCCGCTATTGCTTGATACTGCAGTAAGGCGTGCCACCACAAGGTTGCTCCCGGCTAGAAAAGGCCGACAAAGCCGAAAAATCGAATTCAGCATACCGAAGACAGGCCCATTTCTACAGATGGGCATGTGGAAAGCCGTAATCGGAAAGCAAATACAGACAAACGACAGCAAAACAAAGCAGAAATTTTCGTTTTAAAAAATCGTTACTTACGTAACCGTAATAAATCAGACGTACTGACTTCACAAAGAAGGCTTCATTAACCTCAACTATATGCCAGAGACAAATCATTGCTGGATCGAATCAGGGCAAATGCGCTATAATTTTAGATGCTTCGGGTGTCATATTAATTAACAACACGAACACCTTTCATATACCATAGATATAGGAAATGACCATACTATTTTTAGATGAAATCAATAGTCTAACATAAATGATTTATATCTATCGTTTGTGCCGTATCCTTAATTAGGCCTAATTGAAAGTTATAATATGCCTTATCTTATACACTGTGCAGCAGATTCAATTTTAATGTTTGCTTTTCAAAAACAATGCTCGCGTTTGCTTTAAAAAAGAAAATAAAAAAAACAAACTCACATTGTAATAATAACAATAATTTGACTGAGAAATACACATGTCAACCTGACTACGCACCGAGCAGTAAAAACTGGCGACAGCTTCGGTTCACGTACGTTATGTCATTGGACATTCGAATGTTCTGTAGACAAAATCTCTTCATATTGCTGATAATCAGGTTGGCGTATTTCCAACGATTACTAGTTACTCTGCTGTTAGGCTTTAAGTATGAAAATGCTTATTCCATTTTTGCTAATTCTAGTCCAATTCTGTTGTTGGACGTCGCTTCGCGTTCTGAATCTAGACCACTCCGGGTATCCTGCTAGAAACGCTTTCACTTTATTGCATCATTACGGGGCAAGATGGTTATTCCAATAATTCAAGATGTACCATTAGGACTCGTCGTGAAATGAACTACGCATACGCTTAACCAATAGATATATTCATTTTTTTTTTGAACTCATACGAATTGTTTCGTTACACGAATTATTATAAATCGCCAAACGATCAGCAAGCCTACGTCATGACCGCAGCCGCTGTAACCGGGCCCACTTGATGCCCCTGTGTACAATTGGAGGTGCCTTTTTAAAATTTAGTTTCGAATCAAACTAAAGGCCATTATTAGCAAATCTACCTAAATGCTCAATCTGCAACGACCGGTGTCAAACACCTTTTTCATGGGCAGTTAGCACGTGACACCTATTAGTACTTGGGCCGCTACAACACGTATTAACATAGGAAACTCAGGTCCGACTTCCTTTAGCGTGACACACGAATTTTTTTCCTTCCAGACATGCATAATAAACATTACTTGACAAAAGAAAAAGCAGTGCTTCTTTATTTTTTACTTGAAAGCTATGTATGGGCCATGATCTGTGTTTAAGCCCAACACGAGATTTCATATTGCCAACGAATGTTCCGTAGACCAATCTTCCCTTTTATTTAGCAAGGACGGTTTTCACTTATTTAGACTATTATTCAGCTACTCTATTCAAAATATTCAAGTCTAGGATATGCGTATACCGCAAACTGAATTGGCGCCCTACCCTTTTCCCTAACCTTCGCAACGTAGCGTGTTTTATTTAGTTTCGTACGCCGGTGAATAGGAACACGTGATCGACATCGATTACGAACATTTTTGGGTTATACAAATCCAACTTGTCTAGTATTTTTACGGATATCACAAGGTCGGAAAACGGATAACCATAGACAGGCTGTCCAGACAAACAGTGACAATTCAGTGGTACTGTTTTTTTACACTTTATTGCTCCGAGACAGACAATTATCGAGTTGCGAAATTATAAGGAACTGTAAATATATCGATCCTTTCGCCTCACTATGACGTCACATCCTAAAAAATCATCTCTGATTCCTATTCAATAGCAGTTGATCCATTTGGTAAATTACATACGTCTTTTTTATTAGCCGTAATAATTACCACAGGCTCTTTCTCAACTAATATTCGAGTCTCAAGTTTACACAGCTTTGTTCTCTATTCAAATTTTGCTTGATTTGAAATTTGAAAATGTTTACTTCTTGTAAGGCAGTAAGTCTGAACGGGTACGCTACCCCACAGGTACGAAACCGGAAGTAGTGCTCTCCGAGCACATTAGGTTTCTTCTTATTTTCACCCACTATCCGCAAACAGAATTGTCTGTTCTTAACAACAGACACTCGTTAATTAGTTCTGCGCTAGACAACGCGCTTGAGCTTGTAAGTAAACCTTTCGACTGTAATACTATATAATCCCTTAAAATTCCGCCAGATAGAACAACGCTTGATCGCTTATAGAAAAATAGTAAAGGGCGTTAAAAGTAATACTGTCAATTTGATGCAAGGCGATTATGGTAGAAGCTCATCGCACCTCAGAGAGATTGTAGCGACACTTCGACGTTACGTGGAGCATTTAGCAAGTAACCGCCTCGCAGACATTACCTCCACTTAATCTTATGACGTGCACGCGGCACCTCTATAGCTCAGGATTGTCCAGTGGAATAATCAACGGCACGATACTGTTGAATAATAGTTGTAAAATCCAATGAAGTCGCCCACAGCGAAGCAGTGACGCTGCATGATTTAGTCAAACGCAATCAGGCAAGATAGTATTCGGCTCGAAGCTCAAAACGAAAAAAATCAACTGGTCACAGAGCGTTCTACGAGCGTACACAAGTGTGACATCTATCAACCGTATATTAAAAAATAATAATACAATGTCGTGTGGGCACAGTTCCAATTCTTCAAACTTTGCTAATATATTAAGGGTCAATTAACTTTCAATTGTTTTGCGTATTCACTTGTACGTATTACGCCGTCTTCGAAAGTGGTTAGGAGACGACATTTACCAGTGACGTGATGATAATATCCGACGCGAAATGAATCGGTTGCTGTTAGCTGCTTTCAAAGCGATAAAGAACCTAGGAATCTTCACTTTGTTTATCCTGTTTCTTTTCGAAGGCGACGAGCGAACGTCGGACAGAACTCACTTCAGCGTTTCGTTCCACTCACTTTGCTAGCGTATATAATACGAACGTTCGAAACGACGAGGTGCTTGCCATGGCACCTCAATCCTCCCTCCTGGGGGACAACGTAAACAATGGGAGAGGGTGGTTCTGTGGCTAGCTTTATTCTCGATATTAAAAAGCGAAAAGAGTATGACCCACATCTGATAATCACATAGGATTTTCGTTAGAAACTTGTTTCGTTAGAATTTCCCCTGGAGAATGTAATTGATCCTTATTAATTGATTTTCACAGCTAGGCTACAAGCGAGTGCGGAAACTTCTATCAAATTTTGTATCTCGCCTTGATCAAGCACCGAAAACGAATACAAATAAGATACAGCGTACTCGCTGTAGTAAATCTGCGCGTTGCTCAGCTGGCATTCCGCCTGCATTTTCTCGATTCTTTCTCCGCCTTCACATTTAAATCTAGCGCGGCGCTCCTACACAACTGCCGATAGCCGCCTGCAGCTGGCAGCCACGAGGGCGTCTTCTGCCGTCGTCTGCGCGAACCCTTCTCTTCCTTACCTATGCCTGATGTGTCCTTTCCATTTGCGGCGATTGTACACACCACACCAACCCATGCTAGCCCATTCGAATGACGAACTTGTCTATTTATTATTGTTGTCCGGTCTCACCCTCGCTCAACCCGCTAGTTGCCCTTACCTATTACTTCGGTTGTTTATTGGTTTGAGTTACTGCCGCTCCTGCCGCCTCATCCGCGGCTACCACTACATCCTACACCCGTCGCTTATCGGCGGGTCCTCTTTTCCATACGAGGATAGGACAGGGAAGCAACAAGGTCCGAGAGCGCCCATGGTCCGTTTATTCCCGCCGTTACAAATCGCTGACACTAGTGAGCATTGCTAACATCAACCAGGACTATCTCTGCGGCTGCTATTCTGGCCAGTGAAGACGAAAAGCCCCTGGGCCGCCACCACATGGAAGAGAATTAGCAGAACGAAAGCACATTATATCTGCAGGCCGCCCATTGTAGTCACCATCGTAACGCAAAGCGACAACTATTAGTAGGCAAAGTTTTGGCACGATCGGCAGCAGAACATCCAAGAACCGGAAAGTAGTAATCGGGTCGCAGAGATTTGTGGACACCAATTAGGATAAGCGAACAGTTCAAAAAATCGACAGTCGGAGCGACACCCGAAAAAACCGACGAGCGAACAGACGAGATGTTCAATGCTGCATTGTTATAGGTGGACAATGCTGCTGCAGCTAGAAGTTGCAGGAACTGGCAATAGTTGGTAGTACTAGTAATAATATTAAGACTCAATGACCAGTGACGATTGAATAGAGCTAGGAGGATTCGGGAAGGCTCTTGCTGATGAACATCTCTTTCCGGGGGTCAAATCGACACTGACGGCTTTCGCGCTGATCGACAATTGGATGCTGCCTGAAGCAGACTTTGTATGCGGTGCCTCAAAAAAAATCTTTTTGTGTCAGCGGATACTGTTCGTGATGTTGATTAGTGCTCCTTTCTCTGCCGTTCGCAGTGTGTGGAACCGTATCGATGTTGCAGAGGTCGCAGTTGAAAAAACGCAAACCTTGTGTTTTAAACTCTCAGTATGTTGAGAACAGACCACTGAGTACCTGCGGCAGGGATTTTCACGACGGCAAAGTGAAAGAAAATAGGTGAAAAATAAACGTGGAGAAAAGTTGGCATGCAGTTATAGGTATTGTACATGTTGGAACACACACGGTGATTCATCGTAGTCCTCCTCCACAAGACCTCCAGCAGCCAGAACAAAGATCAGACAGTGGCAAAATGCCACCTTCACCCCCGAATAAGGTAGACAAGGTTGGTTTCTGGGGTCCCCCAACCTCGACACTCGACTGGTGCGAGTACAACTATGAAATCAGCTTCTATATGGCCGAATTCTGTAAGTAACAGTTAATTTTAACAGTATGTCTGTAGTGATTTCTATTAAATAAACAAAACATAACAACTATAACGTTGTCATCACACTATAATTTTGCTAAAGAATAAAACTGACATTATTAAATATTACGTCAACCTGTTTTGTGCCATCTCCTGTATTTAGATACGTTAGTTAGATAGACCTCAGAATAAAGGCCTTGGTCTGCCTATGCAATGATTGCAGTGTACCTGAAAGAGTCGATTCTAGTGGCTTTACATTGGGCCAGCCGAATAACTCCAAACAAAAATCGTTGTTGCTTTCGCGTAGAGCTAAACACTTTGCATTTATGCACATATAAGAGAAGGGAAAGTAATCATTCCATTGGAACAATTCAGAGGCGGACGATTCGGAAGCTTTGCCCTCATTGACCTTATGCATTCATATGTTATGGGAGGGTCGGGCATAAATGAAGATGGTGAAAAAGTAGCGAAAAAGAGGAAGAATAAACCGTAGTTCTTTAGGTATTGGTGTACATATACATTTGATATTGGCAAGAGCCTAAGTGACACTTTTATCATATATATATATATATATATAATATATTAATATATATATACGAAGAGATTTAGGTTCGTAATCCTCGAGTTCTGTTTAAAAGGAATTTTGTTTAAAGAAATTGATGAGCATAAAGTGCCACCGGCCCGGACTTGGCCTCCTGGATAATACATCTACGATTTTATGCTCGCCCATAGGTCGCCAGTGAAGCTTCAGTGAATCGTAAGTGGAGTTACGCATCGTTCTGTGAAAGAGCCATTTTAGTATTTTTATTCGTAAGAAATTACCGAATCATAAATGTATCCAACTGGCACTTAGCCGACAGACTTTAGCTAAATACCACTGCTACGCAACTGTAAAGGAACTACCATATTTCGCGCGTCTTGCTAAGCTCGCCAAATCTATCCCGTAGAGGTTCATCGCCTGGAAACATAAACTATCGAAGTCTAGTCATTAACGATTCGATAACGACTGACTATGTATCTTCACTATCTGGGACTATATAAAATGAAATGGGGCAGATCCGTCGCTTTTGGTCCTTGAGATGATCGCTTTTATAGATAGGACCTCGTGGCGCCTAACCATGTACATCTGTCTGAGCGTTGTTTATTCACGTATCTATCATTGAACTAGTATGTAGCAGTGCAAGTTATACTTGAATCGTATAGATTTGATAAGTTTCGTAGTGACCGCCATATTTGTGCTTAAGGTAGGCTGAAAAACAGGTGTACTGGATTTAGCTAGGTAGAGCCAAAACCCTTCGAAAGCGCTTGTGAATGGATTAGAGTTCAATAGCACAGCATTTTCGTTATTGGTCATGGTCTTAAAATCGCTGAACCCTGGACAAAATCTACTACGCATTGGCTTACTCTCATAAGGACTCAAGCTTTCATAGGCAACACAGCACAGTATGATCTATATGCACGGTGCTTGCTGAAAACGTGTCCGTGCTCATTTATTGAAAAAAACTTCGGAATCGTAGGCAGCTGGCTATACGCAGTCTTTGCTTCACGGCTAACGAAATGACATTATGATGAGCTCCGAAATTGCCATTAATTTAGATTAAAAGCGCATGGAAATGTTGTCGTTTGCTTACGGCTATTTGTAAAAAGCCCTTGTATTCAAACGTAATTAGGCGTATTTACTATATTTCGCTATGTCCACCTCTCTGTAATTTTGTCACAGTTGTAATACGCACACGTCATAAAGCTGACGTGTGGCATCTTCTGTAAAACAAGCATTGTCAAACAACAGCTCAGTTGAAGATTCATTCATCTTACTTAGATTTTTATCTGGAAATCATGACTCTGTGTAAATTTGTTAACACAATAGATATATTACATATATAAGCTTTTTCAATTTTACTGTTAGATTAATTTGAATTGATTTGCACCTTAACTTAAGGAAATCAAGCATAACAAGCTTCACAGTCAAATGATGTCTGTTATTGCGGCACTCTCATTCATTGAACCCTGGATCATTTCGTGGACTTGGATTGTAATTCAGCGCATAGCTTTACTCCGTATTACTTCGAAAGCCTGATGTCCTTCGGCTAAGAGGACAAGCACCATCGAAGTTCAGACACAACTTTTTGCGTTCACCAAACATAAACAATCTAAACACAACAGAGGCCCTAAATCACTTTTGACTGCGTAGTCACAGAGGATGGCACATGAGGGCGCCAAGGACGGCAAAATATTCTTCTTCTAAAGCATGGAGGATTTGCCAAAACAGATGTTATCTAACCAGAATCCAAAGGTAACATCTACTATTCCATGAAGGTACCTTCGGAGCCGTTTCGATATGGCGTTTATTCCACCATAAGCATAGACACCCGAACGTATATGAAATAATAAAGCCTTGAAATATAGTATATATTATTTCATATAATATATACTATATTTAAAGGCTCTCTTCAAACATTTATCCAACGAACACTCCTCGTGAGTAAGCGTGTAAATGTCTTGACTATTGTATGTTGCAAAGAAATTGTCAGTATCGATTTTTGTAAATTAGCTGAGTAAGCCAACTTTGAACCATGATGATAGAGTGATTGGCCACTGCCGCGTCCAGTTCTCGTCAAATATACTTTTTGTTATTGCAATATTCTGCCATTTCTTACTTCATTTACAATTAGACGGACTCGGTCATGGCTTTCGCTAAACCACAATCATCCATTATCCATGTATACACAGAAAAATTCCGTACATATTTACTATGCTCATGTCGGGCGTATGTTGGTCCAGGACTGTTATACTTAATCAACCGTATATCTGTAGCCGGAATATGTCCCAATTAAATTAAATATCAACTACCCTTGTAGCGTACTTCCAGCTGGTTGACTGATTCATGCATCACTGATAATCCACATGTATTTCATTTGTTAGTGGATGTTAAGGGCACAATTTGCTCATCGTTGCTATGTGCATTTTTGAAAAATTAATTTGTTTGTAGTTGTAGGGGCATCTTATCTTTTTACCAAGTGTATTTGAGGAGTACTGAAGGCTATAAAAATTGAATGCCAGCAAAAACAACATGAGACGTTGTCGATTACTGTGGGATTCCTGGAACGAAGCTGTAGCAGTCTTTCTCAGTGAGCAGGCGGCGCGACCCTGTGGAACACGATAATCTTCTCACGTCTTCTAAGAGGAAGATTATTATATGCACTAGATTTGTAGTCTAGTAATAATGACAATACATTGAAGGGAGCGTCAAAGGGTTTTCGATTTAAGCAAGATCTTTAAATAGGTTTGGATTTAATAAGCGGACCCTGAACCACTTTTGGGCATCGAATGGTAGCGTTATTTCAAAACTAGATGACATTTTGATTGTAAATTGTTTGTCTCGTACGCATTCGAATTATAATAGAATATCGGAATGAAAATATACTAAGTTTGGAATTACGTAAGCCGGCCATTTATCTTTTTATCCTTATTATCTGGTTTATACTATTGGTTCATTAGCAGTTGTTTTGCATCGAATCTTACTCAAACAATGCAAGCTATACGGACGTAGGTTTATCAGGGCATTGAATTGTCATTTGGCTCTTTTGCTTGTATTGTAATCGCAAATAATATTTGTGTTTCGACTCCGATCCACAGAGGTCGAATCCCACATTCGTTGAGGTCTGTTGCCGGGTCTGGCAGACAGACGAAACGTCTAGCTTCGAAGTGGACGGACTAGTGAAGATTTCGCGCACTTTGATGGTAGATCCTGTAATAGAGTTCTCAGCGTTCTGCCCTATGTTAGCTTGGGTTTCCACTGGCCATGGATGTTGGCTATAAAAGCGATACTTACAATTACCTAAAAGTCCGAAAATATCCTCTCAGTCGGAAACGACTAACAGCAACTTTACGCACTGGCATGTCTTTTTATTTTTTTTTTTATTAAAAGCTCAAAAGTGTTTAATTAAACGAATAGAAAAGGTTCGGCTATATAGGCGTCTCTGATAGTATGAGAGTCAGCACACTCGAACTGGACTTTTTTCTCTGTGCTGTTTCGTAGTCATCGGAACTGACGTTGGCAGCGTTATCCTACTCTTGATTCGACTGTTTGCAGGGAACACGGTGTCTAACTTGATCATGATTGTTCCGCCTTTATGGGGAATCTACCTCGGCTTTAAGCACCATATCGGGATGCGGATTGTCCTCTGCTACGCCTCTTTGCTCAGTAAGTGTAACTTCTCAAAAAAGGAACTAGTGCGACCATTCTAAACTGAATCTTGACATGACAGTATGATACAATGTAAAATGGCGACATTTCTGTAGTCTCAGTAATACAGGCCTTAAGAGCTTTTGAACAGTGTGGAAAAGTATGGTGTATACGAACCAGATGAGCCAAGTAGTCCGCCATATCTGTACGCTTCGCATGCCGTCGGCTAGGAAGTAGTCAAATAATAAACATGGAGCTTTCATGCTCCAAACAACTTGATAGGAGAACGTGCTTGGCATAGTGGTAATTTACTAGTCTGTGGAGATTCTGTTAGTTTCTAAACAAAAGCAGGACCCAATCGGTACAAACAAATAAAGGAGATAAAAAACAAAATAAAGCACGTTTCCCTTTTTCGATTTTCTCCATAATGGAAACTAGACACAGATTTATATATGAAGAATCTTGAACGAATACAACGCCTCGTTGCATCAAAATAGAATGTGTCACTTAAATATAGAATTCATATGTCGTTATTTTATAGCTAGCGGATGAGTGTTGCTTCGGCGCGTTGAAGGCCGGGATGGGTAGTAATCGCACATTTATTGCGTTATGCACACCGTTAAAAACCATACGAAACAAGCAATGAGGGCGACGGCAGGGGGCCGCAACAATAAAAGGCCTAAAATATGCCTTCATTTCCGACTAAGGGTGTGGGGCTCTATAGAGTATGAACTACCATATTGCCTTTTGAGTGATAACTAACTTTTAAAACCTATACCAGGTTCTATCAGAGGTATCCTATTATAGTACCATGTTATTTGGTCGTGGGTCGAGATATGTCTTATCTTTGTAGATGCTGTACATTAGGGTGATCTGTATAGAAAGCGTTTTCCGGAAAAATTAAATTAACCGACAAAGCCGGGTGATTTACTGATCAGTGCGTCCTACCGTAGGGTCTCTTCTCAGTGGTTGTTGTGATGACAGCGGCAAATTTGATTTAGTCGCATACCGCCTATTTTATAGCGATACATTTATTCTTAGTGTTAACTATTGAGCGATCAAAGTGAAAGAGGTGCATTTATAGGTTCAAAGTTGCCAACAGATCATCCTTATTTTATCTTCATTTTATGTAGATCTGAGTTGATTTCATAATAAGTACTCAACGGCGTATGCCATTCAAAGCATTTGTAGTTGCATGGAAATTAATTAACAACAACCGACCTGAGTGCTGCCAATGGACGCTCGCCTACTCGAAAATAAATGAGCATGATATTAGTTTTTTCCCGTTATGTACACGAGCCAAGGTGAATCGTTATAATCCATGCCTTTATATATATAGATACATACATATAGCCATTGGATCTGGCTAATTAACGAAAAAGATACCCGGAGGGGTTGACCTTTTCATGGGAATCGCTTATCCTGTAGAACAAGGGGGCTTTCTGTGTTCGTCATAAATTTTTTTTGCCACTGTCCTGGACGCTTTAGGGCACGTCCACCCGCAAAGCAGCCCACCGTTGCTTGTCATGTTTTTGGTCAGATTTTGTAAACTAGAAGCACAACTAGAGAACGTCTAGCTCATTCAGTTGCTACCCTACGAAGGGCATTAATGCAAAATCTAAGAGCTGTGATTGTGTTCAAAAACCTTGAAATAGATTGCGTTCATGTTGATTACATGTGAGAAACCGTAAAATATTAGTAAGTATAACGCCTGTATTACACTAAACAAACGTAATTTTGTTCGACTGTTCCTCATATGTACTGTACCGTATAAAGTACAAAACCAATCAAGTATATAAGCATAAAGAAAAATTATATGCTACTCTAAATCGTTCTAGCCCGCGACATTCTGACATATTCGCACATACGCTGGCCTTAAAAGGCGACCCGTAACCACCTTGTATTTTCTGTTAGTCTAAATATTCATTGTAGTTGCATCGGTCTCACACTTATAAAGCTGCTACCATTGCATCCAGATCTATACAAGCAGAATGCAGTGACGCGCGCGAATTAATTCTGCTACCCTTGTCTCTAACGCCATTTTCTAAATAACACCTATCCGGGAATCTGCCGCTTCCAGTAATCCGTTAGACCTCATTTGTTCGTCCAGTAAATGTAGCCAATGGGTTAGTACTTTACCCTGCAGCTATGCTATTTTACTTGTCTTCTATTTAATTACTTACGCCGGCTCAAAATCTAATTCTGTTAGACAATCAGGACGAATATAGACCCGCACCCTGCGCCCCCCTAAGATTCTGCTGGCTGTAGGCTGTGGAGCAGAGATAGCATAGCTCGTTACTGACGATCCAAACACCGTTGACATCTCACAGCTGCATATTGTTAATACCGAATTCGCCGATTGCATCCTTACTAAATATATAAAATATTACGATTACCGAGTGCTTCCGACTACTACTACTACCCTCACCGCAAGGACCTTAAATTATCTGCCCGGGTACTGTGTAGTACCTACCGTGCAATGCTTCGATATGACTTTCATGCCGCAGACTGTGCTTCGAACGCTACTAATAGGATTATCTAGAAAATTGGCAGCAGCAGAAAAATAGAGAGAAGCAAGTTAACGCAGCGTTGCTGAAGTTATTCGACGTTAGGCAAGATTTGGCAACGGCCTTTGTTTTTATTTCAGGACACGGGGATAACGCTCAAGTGTGTGCCTAGGTTTGGGTAGTGCTTATTATGCTGGTCTTTGTTGAAATGTACGCCTGTTCGTATAGGAGTGCGTGTGTGTGTGTGTGTGTGTGTGTGTGTGTGTGTGTGTGTGTGTGTGTGTGTGTGTGTGTGTGTGTGTGGTGTGTGTGTGTGTGTGTGTCTGTGTGTGTGTGTGTGTGTGTGTGTGTGTGTGTGTGGCGTGTGTGTGTGTGTGGATACGTCAGCCTGACCAGAGCGCTGTATAGAAAATCACTCTCGAGAAGTGAATCGATTACCTGGCGTTTACTAGGCAGGGTCGCCGGCGTGGCTCTGAAATTGGATTCAGTCTTTTGGGCAACTCGGAAAACAGTAGGCGATTGACCACCTGTTCATTCGCTCAACAGGTGACAGGGCATAGATCAGGCCAACTATGGACAGAACAGGCCCACTTGGCGGCTTCTATTTCTTGTAGAGTGTGCCGTAATTATTGTCGTTAGATCTTGGGTTCAGATAGAAACTTGACGAATTAAGGACAAACTGTTGTATGAGAACTAGAAAACGACTTTCTAAAGCCTCGTACAAGGGTTGGTTGAACCAGAAAGAATAGCTAAAAGTATGTTAAAACATTGTTAAATATAATGCCATTTAGTGGAAGGAGCATCTTTGCCGGAACATAAAAAAAAAAGAGAACGGATTCAATTGTTCATGTTTCAGGTAATATTTTTTACTTAAGCTTTAGAGCTCCACCTGTGCTTGTATATTGATTATGGACTGCAGCTGTATATTCTAGGGACTCGTCAAATATGAAGTTAGTTATGAAGCGTCATATGGTATGTTTGAGCATAATTACATACTGCCATAGGTGGTCACATTTCTCCGGAATATCTGTGTTTGTGATGGTCAAGTATATAATGCGAAATGCAGAGTTAGTTACCCAAAAAATCTATTACCCAAAAATCTAAAGCTATATTATTTTAGAGGTATTTACCCAGTCAGTATTGCAAGCAAAGCATACTTGTGTTAGACCCAAACGTTCTCAAAACAAACTCGATCCAAAAACTTGAAAATTTCAATGTACATAATATAATATATAAGAGATTGCTATCGATCACGCCAATCTCAAACTGTCATCGGGTGTTTAAGACGTTGCTCTACTTCTGTATACTATTATATCAAATGAAATAGAAGATAAATAGTAGACAAATAAATAAAGATAAATAGCCGGAAATAGTGTTTTGTACCGATGAGCGGTTTAAAACCTATCTGTAAGTATTTACAAATATGTGAATATAACTGAAATGAAATTACTTATTTGTAACGTCCGAGACCGACCGTTTTGTATCTCTCGATTGTGACGTACTGGCCACGTTTACATCTTTTTCCGCTATCTACCACAACGAACGAGTATAGCAATCTAGCAATTATCTTTACGTTGTTCTATTTCCAACCAAAAATCCAAACCATCTATTTCATATGCGTCTTTAATATCGCCAAGCCTTGTCATGTAACGAAGACTAACGCAGAAACTATAATGCACGAAAGCGCATACATTTAGGTAAACATAACGTCCCTTGAACCAAGCTTGTTCGGCTTTGTTAAATTGGCATGACAATACGCGGTGAAGGTGAATAGGGTTTCCCAGCGAGAATTACATCGGGCAACTGAAAGCCAGCGGCTCTTGCGAGGACCTGTATGTCTGCGAGGACACGAGCGGGCCAACTCGCAGAAAACAGCATTTCCACTAAGTGAAGTTCCTCATTCAACACATATTTTGAATTCTATAAGTCTAGTTCGGTCTTGTACAAAAGTCTGCTGTCTCTAACACGTTTCTAAAATGTAGGCAAGCATTTAAAGACGCACACATTGCATAAATCCCTCCAGATACCAGGTCCGACTTCGCCGCGTTTCTTCTGTGTAGAGACGGTACAGTTTACAACTGACGGTAGAGACAACTCTGACGGTAGAGTTTACAACTGCCAATCCTCTTTAATACCAAATACAAAAATTTCACTTATCGCAAACTATAGGAATTCTTTATATCGATACGGTATTTGGTGGATCGCGCAGATATCACTTTGGGCGCATCGACTATGTCTTCGTGAAAACACACTTTCTGGGGAATTCTTTTCGCCCACATCAAGATTTATAACGTATTCTGTATGTGACAGTGTTCATATAATAATAGAATTCTGGCGAACTATTGTAGATCTGAAATTAGATTATAAAAACACACCTTCTTGCGCTACCGAGAAAAGTATGGACATTGTGCCGATCATAGAAATAGTCGTGGGTATCAGTAGGTGTTATGCCGCACAATATTAGTAACAACAATAACTAAGTGAAATTTTGAGCACAAATCTAAATTCAAT